CGACTTACGTGCATACAACAGCACCGACTACTTGTGACGAGAACTTAAAGGTAATTTAATAATAAATTTAAAGCTAAGAATAGTTCTAGACTACACAGTTCAAGTTTAAACTTAACAGGCTGACTTAGAAACCTATACCGGCAATATACTTCTAACTAGACGGCCAACATGCCTATCCACTGCTAAGATTAACAGGTCTAGGATGAAATAACAAAAGTGCGCTTCACTAGCGAAATCACGCTCTGTCTAACCTTTTCATTTCAGCCGTTTAAATACTCTCGTTCACCTGCTTAATTTTCATCCTGGCGAAGAAATGCGAGTGGAAATAAGAGATTCAGATAAAGGTTCAAAAATTAAAATAACTGTTGTTACACCTAAACAGAATCCTATAACTTTCGATTTTATACGAATTAAGGCTTAACATTTTACAGATGCACTGTGTACTATTAAAGAAGAACTAAATGATATTGGATATATTTAATGATAATTTCTTCTGATAAGTTAATAACAAGTAAAAATTTGGGCAAGATGAAATCCTCGCAGTTATGAAAAGGTATGAGCGAAATTCTGAGAAGTACTCAATTAGAGAATGATCAAAAATGGCTGGCGATGCACTTGCTCTTGATTAATATACGGAAAGCCATCAAAATGTAGCACTAAGGATATTTAAGCATTTTTAAGCACGCTATGTTTGATAGGCGATATTGCAGAATGTTTTCCATAATAATCCAGTTTTCATGTAAAATAAAACTACATAGTTTTACTCTTTTATTAAATTTTATTAAAAGTAACTATTCCATCGTACTTAGAAATACACTTGGAAACAATATATCTAATCATTTTTATCCCATTTAACAACTTATTTTGTAATTTTTCTTTTCAGTGTGTGAATTGTTATAATGCATTAACATCAGCATCGCATTTAATTGCGTAACAGTTATGAATGTGATTCAGAATAAATTATTTAACTTTTCTTCTTGATTTTCTAAATATTCCAACTTCGATCGTTTTTAGAGAATTTCGGGACCAGGCTTGCTGTAACTTTTCTTCAGTAATCTATTTCCCACAGAAACGGACATGTCAAGACGAGTTCGCCACGGAATGCTAATAGCGTCGTTTCAAAGGCAGTACAATAAAGCACTTAACAGCTTTGAAATCACTTCACGACAGGAAAGCTTATTGCTACCATCATTGGTCTTATCCCCAAGAAACTTCTCACCTTCTAATGACAGAAGCTGCAAAGCTGAAAGTCTTCTTTCTTTCTCCTGAATTCCCACGAGTGGGAAGTTATCTTTTCAGGCATGCTCTTTCATGGCTGCAGGTGGTATTTGTCCCCTAAATGAGTTTTGATGTATTTATGGCGAATGTTTGAACACAGTCGATGACTCAGGAATCCATTATCTTCCAGCTGATTGCATTCGCCAAGAGCAGCTAGTGTTGATTTTTAGTAACCAATAGATACAGACTCTTTTTTCCCAATTTCTTCTTTATTTTTTTTAGATAAGAACGATAGCAATCTTGATTAGGAAAAAAAGTGACTGACGACCCAATTTCCGTGTGCCATCAATTGAAATGTTGATTCCTTTTTACGTTAATGTAAAAAAAAAAAAAAAAAAAGGCTTGTATTACTAGAAAAATAAGAAACATTTTAAGCTATATGGATACTTCAAATATATATTTACATAAATTTCAACATTCGATACAACAATGCAGTTCGGTAAAGTAATGCAGAACAAAGTAGTGAGGGGAGGGGGGGAACTCAAAAGTTTCAGATTTTAAATTACGTCCAAAGGGGCGTTTTTTTAACGTTTTCTGTGTAACCGTTAGTTATTAAATATCATGTTCTTCGCACTCAAACCATAAATTTCAGTTCAATAGCAATGTCGCAAAATAATTTTAAAATTAGCCTATCTTTAGAATCTCCGATACACAATTCCGCACGCTGTTCATAAAAAGTTTTTTTTTTTTTTTTTTTTTTTTTTTTTTTTTTAAACCCACGTAGGTTGTTGCCATTGCTCGCTTTCAAATCGTTGAGTTTGTTACTCAAAAATTCGTTAAAGTTTTACAAAATATGAAATCGATAATAAAACAAATTTCAAATTTGGGCTTCCACATGCCCATATTCGCACTTGGATTACGTCATTCAAAATTCGATGGCTCTGTGTACCATTGTTTTATCTCAATACAAGAAATATACATTCATTTATGCAGATATTTCATTATTTAATTTCTTCAAATATAATGCAGGACTCTAACATTTAGTGGCAACAGTTTGAAAAGTGAAACGGATATTTGTAGTGATTCAACGCAAAATCGCAAAACGAAAACAATAGTCCTTCAGGGACAAAACCCCTTTGGAAGAATAAGCCATACCAGTTGGTTTTTAACTCCTTTTACTCTGTTTATAACAACAAGCCATTTGAGCAACCAGCCTTTAGTGTGACATGCGTAACTCTTACATTTGGCAACACTTTTGGAAATAAAGCAGATTTTTATCTGTTGCCATTCGGAGAAATGAGGGGAATATTAGCGCTTTCAGATTTTCAAATTAATATCTCGGCTCATTAAAAGCCGTACGAAGATAACATGTTCTTCCCACGAATTTTTGGAATCCAAAAGTACCTTTTTCGAAACCTAACTTCCCGCCGCTCCGGAGGCGATAATGCCATACGCGCATAGATTTTAACAGTATAAGATTCTAAGCCTGTTTACATAGCACACAGAGTATTAAAATCACCTTTAGTTAATGACAACAAAGATACAAATATTCGTGAAAATTCCAGTTGAATATACTGTAAACTAAATGCGCTTTAATTTAAATCAAATGCATTAATAAAAAAATAAAATTAAGATTTAATTTATTAATAGAATTGCGATTTAATTTATTAAGAAATGCATTGACTGCTTTTAAATCGCTTATATTTTTAATTAATAAATGATTGATTAAATTTGAAAGTTGAATTGAAGATCTTATGCTTTGCCAAACAGCAGCACTCGGAGAATCGGCTACGGGTCCAGAAACGTCGACCACTAGCGTAGATGATAAATATTGTTTCTGTAATATTTGTATATTAATCCCCAAGGCATGATCATGTCTAAGGTTTTTATTTTGTCAGGACGTGAGGAGGTGTCAGGAAGCATTAAATAAAAATTTATCATCCTGATGATGCATTAACATAATTAATCAGAAACTCTTTTTTTTTCTTTTATTATTATCAGCACGTTAAAAAAATATCCCGTTATCAATAAAACGATATTCGTCTTTTTGAAAACAATCATAACCACTTCATTTTCATCCTTCTCCTTCCGTCTATTAGTTACAAAATTGTGTTGATATTTCCAATAGAATTTAACTTTCATTTGCAATTAATAAAATTTTAAAGTTTTGCCTTAATGGAAAAATTTCATTTACACCATTAGTTATAGCTAAGTTCACTTGATAACATTTTTTCCCCCGAAAAATGTATTTTCATGTAAAACTGGTGAACTGCATTGTTCAGCATTCATTAGAAACCTTCCATTTTTTTAAACCATTCCTGTGTGTGCATTTGTCGTCCTAAAATGTATTCCTTTAAAACATTAAATTTCTCACAATTCCGCAGTCTTGTTTTCTACAACAAGAAGTTTCCATTTCGGATGGCATAACGGTTAGCAAAGGTTGATCAGCTTTTAAATCGTGCTATGTTAAGTGTTTGTGACTAGCTTTCTTGAAATGTGTAGGCACTTAAAATCTGTCAGGCTGAAAATTTTCTCGAGATGATGATGGTAAAGAAAGAGAACTACGATATTCTCTGAATCCAACCAACCAGGTGCTTTCTGTCCAAATTGGTACTAATGCAGATTGTTTTCGTGTGCCTTTACCAATATTAATTAATATGTCCTTAATAAATGAGATCAATATACCACACGTCTCATATAATAGTGTTACATGTTTGTAAAATATATTTAAATTTTATGACAGTTATTTTAATTTAATTGTGCTTTCCTGTCTTGCCTCGTTTGAACTTACAATCCCCTGCCAGAATGAGATTTTAGAATCACGTTGAATGTAAATGAGTAATAAATAGCATTAAAGGAACGTTTAACTTACTTCGAGAGAGAGAGAGAGCTAGGAATTCTGGGTAGCGCACGTTTGCCCTTGGGTTAAGTCTCTCTAAGATGCTGTTAGAGAGCTCGGCCGTATTATTACGTGCCTTTTGATAGTTCCCCGGATAGTTTAAAACTAAGGGCCAACTAGGTTAGAATTATGTTAGCTTCGGCTAAATCTCTTAGATATAGTTCTTATTTTTGAAAGTGTTTTTTATTTTTTAAACCCAAGTGGAGGCTTTGTTGTAAGCCCGAAGTAAAGGGCCGATTGTTCATCTTATTTTGATTTAAATAAAAGGTAATTAACCTATTTGAGTTTACGATTTCTGTTCTTTGAACTAAGCAATAATTAGCTTAACAGTTCACTAGGTTCCTGAATATTTAATTTAGCAGAATAAAAGTGAGGAACTCTACGATGTCTCATCACACATAATAGAAGCCTATTTTAAAAGGAATGTATCTAGTACTGTTTTTGCGACATACTTTACTAGTTCTAAAATTCAGCCGTTGGGTTTTAGTACATTAAGAAATTTTATACTCTTTAACAAAATCGTAATTTCTGTTATCTGGCAGATACAATCCTATAACAATTACTGTAAACAGCAGTGCACATTGTGCTAACATTACAGGTATCGTCCTCCAGAGCCAGAAAATGCTTGTAACAGAATGAAATAATGAATAAAAATATTCGTGTTCAAAGCGCTGAAACATTAAGGGCAATTTTTCATTCAAATTGTTTTCGAAAATCTGAGGCCGCAATTCCTTTTCATGTGAAATGGAAGAGCAGAAACTGAGCGATTTCCAAAAAGCGAAAGTTTCGCGGGAGACAGAGGGCGCGACACTGGGAGTTTTCCAGCCGATTGAGTGAGACAGAGCGCGGTCAAGTTCACTACTGCGCAAGACGTCGTCTGAGGCGAACGGCGCTCGCTCTGTTCACCACCCGGTAGCATTACAAACACACACACACGGAGCCGAGCATGACTCGCCCATACTTCACTTCCTGGATAAGCGGCGATGCAGTGTAGCTTAACCTTCTCCTGCTGGTGGAGCCTGCTACTCCTCGCTACCGCCGTTTCTGCGGCCTGCCCCCTAATAGGGGCCGGCTCTGACCCCCAAACCAAGGCATACCTCGCTCCCGTCGTCTTTCACGGTAAACTGATAGCGCTGGCCAGGCGAGGGCCCGCGCAGCAGGCCACGTTCCGCGTTGGCAAAGTGTTCAAGGGCTCACTGGACTCTCCTAACGCCCTGGTGGAGTTCGCGATCCGGAAAAATCCAGCGAGGTGCCGCGGAGTGCTTTACCCTAAAGGAAAGCTCCAGTTGCAGGAGAGGTACGTTGTGTTCGCGGCCTGGAGAAGGCGTAAGATGATCGCCGTGGACGAGCCAGAGGCCTACTCTAAAAGGAAGGCCGTGGCCAAAGTGCTTTGTCAAAACTGTGGTGAGTGAATGAAGTTATTTATGCACCAGTGCTCAAAATGCTCATCTAAATAATGGGATTTATAAAATCGCATAAAAGGAACGAATCCACGGGAAAAAAATTCTCATTTTTAAAACAGCATGTTACATCCAAAAACGGTCCATATTCCTACTAATTAAAATTTATTTATCATTATTTTTAATCAACATTTAGTAATCGGTGTTTTTAGGCATTAAAGTTTCGACTACGAAATGATGAAATTCTCTGAGAACAGAATTCTTCCTTGCCAGTTTTGTTATTGATTGAAATCACACAAAATATAGTTGAAATGTCGATAAGACTGCGTTAGTCAGCACATATTTTATCAGATTACCGAAATTATTGACGGATTGTTCCAGTTATCTGGGAAACATCATAATCCCGCATTATTGCTTGCATTTCGAGCTCTGTTGCTATTCTAGTACAGTGATTTTCGATAAAAGGTGTAAATTTATTCTTGAATATGTATATGTGTATTTTTATATTAATGTTGAAGGAGAATAAACGTAGACTTTTTCTACAAGTAATTTATATTGAAAATACTTATCTGTTACTAGTACCAGTAAGTTTATTTATTCATCTAATTATTTTTCAGCTTAAATAATTCATACCATTGAATTTTAATGTATTCATGTTTTAACTTTATTTTAATTTTAATCATGTATTATTTCCTGATAATTAACATTATTTTTACGGCAAGAATTTTTTTACAAAAAAATGGATAAGCAAAATTGAGAACACATATAAAAAATATTTATCCTCCCTATCCAAGTACAAAAAATGTGCGATTTTTAAAATTTTTATGCTATTCTGAACAGAAATTACATTATTCACTGAAAATATATTATACGTTAAAGAAATTCTATGTAATTTAATCTCTATATAATTTTAATTTAATATTCTATATAATTTGATAATTCTTAGATGAGTTTATGTTACTAAATATTGTTGAATACTAGATTCTCCAGGTATCTAAATGTTTTTTAACACTATTTATGCATTTTTGGAATATTTTTGTTAATTTAAAATGAGTTATTACAAAACGGACAAGTACTAACCTCACATATCTGTATAGAATATATGAAAAACTAAGATTTTTATATCTATGCATAGGGCGAAATAAATTACACATATAAATGCAATAATATCATCAATTTTTTCCACAGAATATTTAGCATAGGTTAAGATTTTTCCCCGTTTGATACGGTAGTTATGTGAATGTTATATGTGTAATTCTTCATGCGTGATAAATAAAATTCATGCATTATGCTTTTTAGAAATGCATGAAGAATTGTATTTATTATTGCTATACAAGATATGCATGTCATACTTTTCAGCTTGTGGAGTTATGTTATATTTCACTGAGTTATCAATAGGCAATGATAGTTTAATTTACTGATTTTAAAATGACATTAATGAACCTTTCCTAACGAGGCATTGAGTTCTGTGATAATATTTTGAACTTACCTCAATATCGTTATTTTGATGGGCCTAATGAAATTCAAATCTAATAAAACTAAGCTAGGAATGCAGTTTTTAATATTTTTATAACGATTATTATTCTAAGACAAAATTTCATGAAGAAAACTGTACATTTAACCTTGTGGATTTCCGCTCGGCATTGATGAATATGAAATCTGATGACATGTAGATATTGAGCAAGCCATCGATCTATGTAACCTCAACGGAATGGATCGTTATCGCATTTATCAACTGCTCGCTCTTATTTCTTCCCGTAACCATTTTCTTTCTTGTAAATACATTGCAGTTTCTGCTGTTCTTTTACAAAGCAACCTTAATCGTCTGTCTGTAAATTTTCTATTTATTTTTACTTCCTTGTAAGAAGTAAAATAAGTATTGTAATTGCGAAAAATTTCGGGTATCATATTGCAACGAGCATATATGCATTTAGACAGCTCTCGAATCCATTTGAAAGATGTTTTTGCGTGACATGTGTACCCACGGACAGAATAAAGGACTCTTTTTTTACAAAACGGACTGTAAAATGGATTCAGAAGAGATTTTTTTCGTGGTGTTTGTACGTATATATACATATCTTTCATAATTAAAAAGCGAGTAGCCGTAGAACATTGAAACTTTGTATATCGGACTACTATAACATCTAGTTGTTCACCTCCCTTTTATTCATTGCAATCAACTGCACCAAACGTATGTGTATCTTCGAAAACAAGTTATTCTAATACTTGCGCAATAGCTGCAAAGTAAGATAATAATAATTTATTGACTAAAGAAATAATCATTATATTATCTCCTAATATTAATTTTAGTAGAAGTATCTAAAAAGAGTGAACCCATAGGTAGGAAGTTTAATTCCGAAAATTGTTTTAAAGTAACTTGAATGTAAATTGTTAAAAATGTTTTATGGGGACTTGAATTAAATCATGAATAACAAAATTTAAATTGGAAAAAGAAGTTAAATTAAAAGCAAGTAATTATTGTCATTGATCGGAAATTAGTTGACTTTTCAAGGGGAACAATTCCCGTTCAATGAACAATAATTAATAAGTAAATACGAAGGTATTTCGTCTTTTACTCAAGTAATAAATTCTATTAGCGAAATGCTTAATAAGAATGAGTTCTTTGCTACTCTACTTTGGTTCTAAATACCTTCACTTCACGGAAATATTTGGCCTAACTTAATTTGCCAGTTTGGCATCACCATTATTATTTGAGTAAAAGACGAAACACCTTCGTATTTATTTATTAATTGTTGTTCATTGAACGGGAGTTGGTTTGTTCCCCTTGAAAAGTCAACTAATTTCCAATCAGTGACAATAATTATTTTAATTTCTTTTTCCAATTGAAATTTTGTTATTCATGATTTAATTCAAGTCCCCGTAAAACATTTTTAACAATTTATATTCGAGTTACTTTAAAACAATTTTCGGAATTAAACTTCCTACCTATGGGTTCACTCTTTTTAGATACTTCTACTAAAATTAATATTAGGAGATAATATAATCAATATTTCTTTAGTCAATATATCTATATATCTAAAAAAATGTTAGTGTTTCAAGTTACTTCATTCTACTAACCTTATTTAAGGTTATACACAATAATCCATTAGTAAATAAATTATTATTTTATTACTCTGAAGCTATTGCGCAAGTATTGGGAAATTTATTTCGATTAATTAATTAATATATATAGTGTGTGTGTATGCTTATGTGATGAAAACGACGTAGTAGCATTGTGATGAAAAGGACGTAGGTAGCAATGCTGAACGCGCAGAAAATAAGAATGTTGAATATGTAATGAACAGAAAACTTGGCAGTCGATGCGGAGGAAATAGCCATCTTATTTCAATCGACATTTGCAACCACAAATTACTTAGCACTCTTATCGTGCCTATTCAAAAACATTTACATTTTGATACTGTTGCCATAGGAAGAGAGCAGAACGATATAGCGACTTGATAGGAAGATAGGTAGAAGCTAAAGTGCGCAATTATCCAACACAAGAATTTTATTTAGGTTGCTTATTAACAGAAAGGTTTCAGTTATCGAAATTTTGAGTTCAGGTTTCGAATTAGTGACGTCATAAGCGTTATGCAAGCCATGTGGCATAAACCATGTGGCATCCAGAAAGATTACCGCTTTTAAAATACAGAGAGGAAATACCGAAATTAAAATAAGGAATTAAGAGAGGCTATTACTAAATTAAATTACACGGCTGATTTACATGCTTTTTTACCTTACACACGCACACATGCACATATTATTGCCATATATATATATATATATATTTCTATTTCCCATTTTGTTACCCGGGTTGATGAGCTCAGCTTTTTAATACTTATATTTTGGTAAACTGTGCATTTTTGCTTCAAAAGTGATTGAACTCTTTTCTTCTGTTCCGATTAAGGGGTTTTTATGTCTTTATTAATCTGCATGCAATAGTTGTAGAATTATCAACCATTTAAAAGTTTAAGTGGCGCTAGGCTGTCATTTGTTTACGTTTGAAGTTCTTAGTAGAATAGCGAATTCAGTCAGTTGGTACACCAACTTCTATGTTGTTTCGTACAATGTGACCAAATGTTAACTTCCAATTTTGTGCACCGAAAATTTTGCCTTTCTGCTCGCTGGCCGAATAGATTGTCTTTGCGCAGAAACTCTTAACTGCTAAAATATTTTTGACTGTATATGGTGTTTTAGGGTTTTTTCCGTATTTTAAAATTTTTAATTATTTAAAATATTAAATATTATTATTTAGATTATTTCTAATTATTTCAAAAAATAATTTATTTATGTTTTTGAGTTTTTATGTATTTTTGACTTGCCGAGAGGTGAGAAGTGAATTAATTGAATGAGAAATATATCTCTAATGAAATTAGAGGAAATAAGTTTAAACGAATTACAGCAAAATTGTGAAAAATTTATTAGGCGTGTGGCGTCCACAGCAGGTGATTTGGTTTAACTCCTGATCAAGAATGGGTTTTTAAATCGGGAATTATTACACAAATCTATGCAAGGAATTGCTAATCCATTTTATTTATTACTTTTAAATTTCCGTATTGCTATCATTGTTCTATAAAGTAAGAATAATAACAAAACTTCTCAGTTTTTGTACTAAAATAAATAGGTGAAAAGAAAAATAAAAACCTGTAATCCTATGCAATTTTTTTGTTTCCTAATTATAATAAATAAATAATAATATGATAATAAATGAGTACAATAACATTCCTGTTATGTAATCACAGATGAGAACTCCATTAACCTGAATATATTTAGCATCATTTGTCATCCACCAGAATGCGGCAATCCAACGTTTATGAGTGCCACCCTTTGAAAGCGATGATATCACCTTTAGGAATCTGTTTTATTTTCAGAAAAAAAAAAAAAAAAAAAAAAAAATATGTAGTAGAACCTTGCAATATATACGACCTTGCCAACGCCTATGACAAGTCTCGAATAGGCCCATTGTCGCGATGATCTTCTTTTCCAGGCGACGTCTAGTTGAAC